TTTACTGATGAAACAGACTGTTGCGGAATTTTGAGGTAAGTGAAATTCTACATTTGCTCTATCTTCATGATATTGAGCACTCTTTGCGTTTCGTATTCATAAACCTACTCGTATATATATATATATATATATATATATAGAATATGTATATATATATATATATATATATATATATATATATATATATATATATATATATATATATATATATATATATATATATATATATATATATATATATATATATATATATACAGCAATATTGTTACAACCTTGTGTGATCAAACTTGTAACATTCTTGTTATATCGTGACTGTATCAGACTTTTTAGAACAACCTTGTAACAAGTCTGATAATGCCATCAAGCTTGTTACAAGTTGTTAACAGCTTGCTCCAAACTTGTTACAACAACTGGGAACAAGCAGTGTGAACACAACTTGCTGACAGCTTGTGAACAGATTTGTAACAACTTGTTTGTAGACTTGTAACAACTTGTATTAACAACATGTATTGTATTCTTCTTCTATTATAAACTGTGGTATAATTAAATGCTTGAACCGAATAATTACCGAAGCGTAATATAAGCAGTGTCACTCGTGATATTGGTAAAAGAGGCTTTTTGTAAGCACAAAGAATTCTTTATTCTAATAAGTGATGTGCTTTCAGCAGTAAGCATCAATACGACAATAGGCTCAGAATTTAATCAATTTTTAACGTCTAGGCCGCCCACATTTCCTGTGCTTTCTAGACTTTCTAAAAGGAATGCCTTTGTCATGAACATCCACCAAATTGACGGAAATTTTACACTTTAATACCGTACCGGAGTAATCACCGAATACATACACCATCAAAACACGCCAATATAAAAAGAACGGAAAAACAATCAGCACACACGCCATCAAATACTTGCGGTACGGTAAAGTACCCAAATTAACTAAAGTTTGTACTTTGTATAATGTATATGCATCTATTAATTTTGTATTTAATGAAAGAAGAAATTGATACTGGAAGTTCAGATCTATAAGACCCCGGAAATCCAAAATAAATTATTTCCTTTAAAAATATTCTTAGAAGTTTATTTAATAGACTGTCCAGTTAGAATTTCCTAAAATGGCCACACTCTTCAGTTTGTTTTTGCTAAAATGTCCTTAAAAAAGCTTGTTCCACTCGCCTGAAAAATGTTATCAAGAAAAAAAACATTTGGATATTTTGGGGATGGCGACATCCGATTTGTTCACGAGAAATTATGCTGGCCAAAAAATCATATTAAGGGGGTCCACTACAAATCAAAACTTTTTTTTGTGTTTTAATGGTGTAATGTTCATCTTTTGTCAGTTGTTGGGGCATGGTGCCTGTGCCAGCCCCACGGCTGTTTAGACTGGTTGTGGGGCCTCGAGTTTCAACGCGTTTCAAATAATTCTTAATTTATTTTCAATCAATAACGAACGGTGCTAAATACAAACACAAATATACAGGAATTACACGGATAAATACGAATTACTGAATACTGGACAGAAACAGATATAAATACTGACAATCTACTTACAAATATCTATGACAGGACACTGGTATCTGGCGAAAAACGTAGGAACAAGTCAGCAACACAACAAAGCGCCCCAAAGTTCGATATCGCTAAGCTACTTCAATCTAAAAATGGCGCGAAAAACCCGGAAGTCCGTCAGCCGGAAGTCGCGGCTGCTACATGGCTCCCCAAAATGTCAACTTTGTTCATTTTCTAAATATTAAATTAACTAACTATCCTTTAAAGGTCACATAGAAATGTCAACTAAAGTTCATTGCTCCTTGGCGGGGACGTTCCTTTCGGTCTCTTCTTGCTCCACCATTTCTAACAACACTGTCAACTTATGAATTGGACGTTCGAAGCTGCTCAAGCTATTCTTTCTTCTTCCGTTCTTATCCAGGTTGCTTGTTGCCTTCTGAATCTCAACTTTTCGAACTAGACCATCATCATTGGGGTAAGTTTTGGTGACTTTCGCTAACGGCCACTGATTTCGCGGAAGGTCTTCGTCTTTGTCAATAACAATATCACCAACCTGAAGGTTTCGTTTGGGGCATTGCCATTTCTTTCTGATTTGCAAGTTTTGGAGGTATTCGCGTCTCCATCTCTGCCAAAATTGATTTGCTAAGAATTGCACACGCTTCCATCTTCTACGACTGTAGACATCGGGTCGACTGAACTGTCCCGGTGGTGGCAGTACAACTTTAGATTTCAGCGTAAGTAGTTGCATTGGTGTTATTGGTTCTGGACTGTCGGGGTCGGAGACATCTGCAGTTAATGGGCGGGAGTTAACAATATTTTCTGCCTCTGTGAAGAGCGTGCGCAGAGTCTCGTCGTCGAGTTGGTCGCCGAGTTCAGTCATAAGAGCGGAGATGACTGATCTGACTGTTCTGATCTGTCGTTCCCACACACCTCCCATATGAGAAG